GTTCCCACCTCTTCCACTTCATCTTTGGCTCTTTTTGTTGAGGCAGCCACCATCTGACATCTTACATCCATTCTGTAGCTCAAGCTTCATGGGTGGAGGTTTTGTCACATTTCTATGTCTTTTGCAGCTTGGTTGTATTGCCTGCAGGAGGACATTGTGCGGGCTGATATGTGGACCTCCCCTAATACATTTATCTCATTATTTGCATGATCTGGCAGTTTCTTCCCCTGTTGATTTTAGGGGGATGAGCATTTTCTTTACTAATCTTGTCTCTTCTTTCCTTTTCTGGGTCTGTTACATCTTTTTCATAGGATCCCACTTTGTGGCAACTGTTGCCCAGTCAGGTGTGCTTTTATCAAATCAAGTCTGCATCAGCAACAACCACTAACACAATATACTTTATCTAGGTTGCTACAGGCTCTTTAGAAATGAGGTGTTCCATAAGACCACCTAGAGGCAGACTGCGTGGTATTACTGTACTGTGCTGGACCACCACTTATGGACTATCAAGAGTAAAACATAAGGGGTTCCTGCTCTTTCCTGCCAATCAGTGGATTGCATAAATCTGGGTCGGTTTGCTTTTAAAAATTTACGGAACTTGGTTCACCTATTGTACTGTTTCCAGTGCATTGTTCCTCAGGACTCCCCAATGCACATTACCCTCTTGTATTCTACTAGTGGAGATAGGGAGTTCTTACCAATCCCAGTTTTCAGTCATTGAAGTGGTGGACAGAGGTTATTCTTCCACAGTGTTTGAGTAACTTTTCACCACTCTTGGAGAGGAGGGTGAAGTTGGTGGTCCTTCTTCCTGGGTCCCTGGATGTTTTATTCCCCAGATGTTGGTAGGAGTGGCACCAGCCCAGGTGATAGCCTACTTGTAATACTGGTTCAGATTTAATGCTCAGTTATCCAGTTGTTTTGAGTCTGGCCCTTCTTTTTTATCAATATAGGTTCAGGACATTGTCAGTGGAAGAGGGTCCATTGTCTCCTTGTAATTCTGAGTGCAGAGTGGTCCTATCCTGGATCCTTGGTTGAGCACTACTTGTTCACATCTTGCCCATAATTCTGGGGGTAAGTGGAATTTACCTTGCCCACATGGTTGGGGAGTGAGGATGAGTGTTTGTTCACTTTGCTGTTGCTTACCTTCTCGTGATTCCGGTGGCTCGGAATGCATCACTCTTTGGCTACAGGTTGGGATCCACTCACAAGTATATATATAGATAGTACAGTCCAATTGCCCTGGCCACCAATGTGTGCGACATATGGATTATGGCCCTATAATTCCAACTACAAGCAGTAGAAACTTGGCTATCTGGTTGGGGCCTGGCCAGTAGTGATAATAATTCATGTAAAATTTGACCCACAATACATGAATTAAGTTCTGGGTAAAGAGCATACCTGTTCTGGATGTAATGCAGTTCTCCCACTAGGGTGCTAATTTTCTATTGGCATAACCATGATCTATGAAGACACACATTCTGTATAGATAATGTCCTCACTGGCCCCTTCACCTTATCAATGTGGCATTCTAGCTATAGTGTGAGAATAGATAAGTGTGTTTTTGGAAGTTAACATTTTCTTAAATCAAAAATGTATTTCCAATAATATTTTCCTCTGCTGCCACTCACCCGCTCTTCCTCCCCACTAAGAGCCAGTGTTAATGATTTCAGATTGGTTCAGTATTGAAAAAGTGAGAATATTATCTGACGGAGGTGCTTATGTACAGTACCAAGATAGAGGGTGCATTGATATAGGTGGAGAGTGTCACAAGACAGATATCACCAAAGGCAATTAAGTGGGGAATAAAAGATTGGAGCAAGCGAGAAAAAATCAGATCAATGCTTAGAAGGTGAAAGGAAAAGAAATCCTAGCAGTTGAGTAATATCTGTAGTGTGAAAGGAGGTAAGTATTATTGGAAATACATTTTTGATTTAAGAAAACATTAACTTCTTGAAGCAAGTTGTTGAACAATTCTGTTGTGATTGTGTTGTTCTTATTGTGTAGGAACCTGTGATGGTATGGACTGCATTTTGTGTATTATTCATAAGATTTTGAATGTTCATGAAAATAGTCTTAAATGAACACAATTTGTATGAGCCATCTTTTAGAACTTATCTGAAAACATGCCTTGCAGAATGGTAGCAGTTAAGGTTGATGCTACACTGCATTTCATCATTGATCACTAACATCCTTTGTATGAGCACATTGATCGGATAATTGTGAGCAGCTACTTCACATAAGTATGAAACAATAAAAGCATATTTTCTCTTTCCAGATACTGATGTTTTCAAACGTATAAATAAGGTTACTCTTAATTAGCTTTAACAATTGATATAAAATTTAATCTACAGTTATAAATGTATGATTCTTATATTAAGACATAAAGAACAATACTTCTCCTACAAAGTAATTTCTTATGCTTTTAAAATAGTGCCTTTTGGCAACAATGCAAGAGTGTCTTCCTTGCAGTTATTTTTCTTTCTTTCTTATGGTATAATTGACTTTTTTCAAGTCTTTTTATATGGGACATCCATATTTTGTCTTTGCTTTCTTTAGGCACTTGTATATCCTAGAGATTTCCGTGTACGCCAACCAGAAACTCAGATATTGCCGGTAGACAACAAAGTACTGGAAGAAGTTGCCAAAATCTCACCAGACCAACCAGTGTCTCAAGAATTAATGAAGTCAGAAAATTCTTTTTTTTTTTTCTGTAACAGTTAATATAAAGCTAAGAACTTGACTAAGCTGAACTATATGCTATTAAGATAAAACAGCTTAGAAAAACTTGGTTTAATTTCATGTGTGAATGACCTGGGTCTAAATATTTATGATTAAGAGTCAATATAAACAGTAGTAACTTTTTAATTTACAAATTTAGTTTTAGTACAGTTGTTATCCCTTTACTACCTTATCTGTTATCATCATTTGTTTCCACAGTCTTAAACTGTTATTTTTAGGCTTGTAGAGCAGTAGGAAACAGCATTAATAAAATATTGTTTACTGCGATAACTAGGATTATCTAGTTTTAAAAGTTAATGTAATGTATAAAGTAATAGTTGTAGCATTTAGTGGATTAATGTGAGTTTTTTTTCATCAAATAAATTTTTTAGTAGAACTATGAACTATGTAATTATGAGATAAGGTAGTATTTTAGTGAATGGTGAGTATAGATCAGTCGAAATTGTAAACGTTTTCATTTATTTTATGTTGTGGACCACGTACTTCATTTTGATGATGAGCTGTTAAAAATATATACACAGTTGGTGAGTTGTAAGCATTTTAAAGTTTAATTTACAACATAAAATTAAAAAAATGAAGTGGAATCAGTATGAATTCCTCATCTAACATCTGTAAAATATTTTTTTGTTTTTATATTTTAGTATTGTATGAAGTCTTTTTTTTTGGACACAGTTTTACACTTTGATATACATGCAGGGTTTTGAGTATTGTTTGTGAACACATCATCAAATATGAAAATTGGTTCTCTTTAATCTGTTAATCATTTTAATTTGAGTAATTTGATCGTCCAGATTCATGATTTCTTTTTCAGCTACTTGGAAACTGTGTTTGGTTCAAGTGCTTGTCTCAATGGTTCTTATTTGAAGTCAGTTGATGCTCACTATGACTGTGGGAATGAAAACCATGGTATAGAACTAAATGCTGCTTATTATGGCTTTTTATGTATCAGGCAATCTCAGCATGAAGTTATTTCAGAATTGGTGAGAATTTATTTTTTTCACTTATAGACAAGAAACAGATTTTTGAATCAGTTTATGAAATACATTGTATGAAACAAATATCAAATGGGCAGAAACATTATTTCTTGATATGCTGGTATAAAATATGGATATTGAATGTATGAGCTGTCTATATAGTTGTATATAGGAAGAAGAAGAGATAAAAACTGTTATTGTTTCTTTCATCCTGCTTGTACACTACTTGCCTTGATCTATTTCCCACCTAAATCATGTGTTTTGACATGAATTGTGCTGTTACTTCATGTAATTATCTTACAGTAATAACCCTTTACAATGGGAGGGCTACACATTCTCTGTAGGCATTAGATCCCCATAAGCACTTGCACTCAAAATTATCTTCATTCTTAAACTTGGTACTAGTGTTAGCAAATGTGTTTAATTTTGATTTTCAGTTTTGAATGATTTTGCATGATGCTATTGATTTAATTTAGTAATCCTTAATATCATAGTTCCTGTCTTTCTGTTTCTTTTATCAGTGCATGTGTATTTTTCATTTTGACTTTAGTGAGATTTATAATTCTATTTCTCACTTTTGTTCATTTCTGAAGAATGGTAAGCTTCAAGCTGTGTTAGGGTTACTTTTGACATTGGTTTTAAACTCTGCTAACAAAAATTATTCTATATCCTTGCCTGTACATCAAATTGATTTGTGCATCAACTGTTTTCTGTATGTTTCTGTACTTGAATTTCTAGGCTTATGATATATTAATTTGCCAGGCCATGAGCCTTTCTTTTAGGGTTCTCCTAATTCCATGAACCTGTTCTTAGCACTTGTTGCATACACACACACACACACATATATATATATATATATTCACACACACACACACACACACATACATACATACATACACACACAAATAAAGAAAAAAAGTTTTCAAGAAAGGAAGTAAGTGTAGAGATGGCTAATATCAATTTTTAAAAAACTGCAAACAAGGTAGTAGGGATAACATTTGCATCACTCCTACATAATACCACAGGCACACAGTGTAGTAGAATGTTAACAAACAAAAAATAGGATAAATTAAAGCCAGTTGTGATTGAATAATTATATATATTGCTATATTTTAATTCTTGCCTGTACTATTATTTGGGGATGATGCAAATGCCATTCCTACTACCTTGTTTGCATTGTTACATTTACTTGCTTTTTTGAAAGGTTTTTTCATTACTTGTTTTTTTTTAATACAGTGTTTCAATAGACATAGTAAGGTTATATTTACAACCAAGTTCGTAATACAATGAGTTTCCAACTGTAATATTTATTGCTTATCTATTATTGGCTGGTATATCCTATTTCACCCTGTACTTAAGGTTTTTAAAGGAACACCAAAATTCTGTAGAAAAGCTAACTTAATGGGTAATGATAACATCGTTTACACTAGAATTATAATCTTTTTGAAAAATTACTACTAGTTATTAATTACACTTATATGAGTGGATACTCTGTTTGTAACTATATCACCTCAATGAAATTGGTTGACACAATTGTTTTGGTTTTTGAGTTATCATGTAATTAAAAAAAAAGGGCAAAAAAAATATGAACAAGGAATTCAATCGTTTTTGCTATGATATTTACAGACAATTCTAGAACTTGTGACTCAGTCATCACATAGATCTTGTTTTAAACAGAAACACTGTAAAATATTGTAAAGTTACTGATGATCTATTGAGGAGATACTTGAAACACCAATTTTATGAACAATCCAAGCCATACATACATTAACAGTGCCACTGCCTGCCTGATTTAGACTTAGACACACACATGTATATATATATATATATTTATATATAGGTAGATAGCTATAATTCTGAGGATATTTTCAAACATTTCTACACTATGAACTCTCGTGTTTCTGCAGCTTTGTTCTCTCAGTACTCTACCTCTGTTTATGAAGCCAAAATTTCATATGGAATGAGACAAGTTATATACTATGTTTTTTGCATAACCTGAGGTATTTGTATAATGTAATGTTTTGAAACTCCCTACAGCTTCTACTTTGTTTATGGCTATTGGAGGTTTTTTGTCTATGGAAGATGTTACTGCCAGTTTTCACCATTAAATGTATTTTGCCTTTCTTACAGATTTCTCCCTATTTTGTGCATTCTCTGTTCCTCAGCCTGACCACAAGGTTGATGTTTTGTCCAGCTATTTCTCTTGCCTGGTTTTGCTCTTGCCTCGTCAGTCTCTGTTGAGGAACAAGTTATTTATTTCTCTCTTTGTTGATTTTGTCAGGTTTGTATTATGTTTTCCCTTTCTTTTGTGTTCTGTTTCTTCATATACGTTTGGCCACCTCAGCTCTTTTGGTTCTGATTCCACAACTGGCTGTTTTGGTTGTGGACACCCTTGACCTGTATTGATTTATTTTTTTCTGTATGTGTTCTCTACATGTCTACTATCTGCCTTTCCCCACATGTCTTGGTGATGTTCTATGACACTCTCTGTTAATTTCTCTGGGTAGCACCTTATTGGTTAGCTCGGTCTTAGATTCCTTTTCTACACATACTAGCATTTTAGGCACCTCTTTTTCTTTCATCATCCAGGTTTTTCTTCCTTCCATCTTCTGTGTTACTTTTTCATCTGCGAGTGTTGTTACTTTATCTTTGCTGATGGGATTGTCTGTTCATTTCTTAATGGGCTGTTTCTCGTATTGCATTGCCCTTCTATTTTTTTCCCACTTGATTCATCCTTTCACTCTCTCTTTCCTGATGCAGTTGGACATTTTTATCACCATGGTCCAGTAGCCATTTTCTGCCCATGAGCATTCATCTGTTGTCTGTCATTTGGACTTCTTTACCAAGCTGTTTTACCAGAGGTCGTTGGTTTAAACCATCATGGGTTATCATATGGCCTTGTCAGCCAGCTTTCTACCTTTTCACCACAGTTCCAACTTTACTTCCCCAGTCCTTTTACCTTCTTCTAGTCCTTCTTTCCTTCCTTTTTTCCTCATCTGGCTCACTTGCCTGACTGGGGCCTTTTTGTGATCCTTTACATGCTCACTTAGACCCTGTTTGAACCCCTGGCCACTTATTCCTTCTCTTAATTTTCCTTGAAGGCCTCTTTTTTTTTTCTTTCTTGAGTTGTTGCCATTCTGATGTTCCTTGTATGCCTCTTGTATGCTGTTATACAAATCTTACTCCCTTTTGTTTCCTGACTTTTCTTTTTTTCCTTACACATAGTCAAAGCTGCCCATGGGAGTGTGACTTTCCCTTTTCTTCCATCTCTCTTTTTCTGCCGACAATAGATGGT